GGTGATAAATATTTATTTTAAAACGCAAAAACATTTTGACAATATTATAATGACGTATTTTTTACATAGACCTAAAGGCGCCTTTTTTATCTAGCATATAAAAACAATATTAAGGTATTTGGAGCTTCGTAATGAACAACAAACCATGAAATTTGCAAAATGTTCATTCACTTGCTGGTTAACATGCAAATTTCTTTAACAAAAATATTCTTCTAGACTTTTCTCTTAATATTAACTTTCATTGTTGAGAGGGTGTTAAGCAGTTTACAATAAATAAAATAAAACAGGTTGGTCGTCAGGTCGTCTGGAGCATGTGGAGTAGCGTCTGTTTGGTATTCTACGTGCAGAAAAATAACATAAATATTCACTGTGAAATAAACGAAGTTGCAAAGAAATCCCATTGTTCTGCAGTAAGGACTTTATACTCCTTAATTTTGTCCAGAAATAAAACAATACAAAATGTTTTAATACTCAATGTAAGCATACAATCTAAATTCTAGCATGGCAAATGATTTAAACAACTTTTATTCCTTAAAATGTTTCATAGCTTAAGTAGGTATACACATTCGCGGACACTTTAAGATTTTAGAGGTTACTCAAAAACACACCTACTTGTGTCTGTCATTTCCTTGTATATCCCAAAATTTTATATTGAGGGACAGGCGTCTGTTATTGCAGACGTCAATATACTAAATGCAGGTTTAGATAATAAGCAGAAAAACATAAAAAATATAAACTTTATTCAAATAAATAATAAAATATTTAAAACAGGATCATATTTTTTTTGCATAAAAAAATGTGTGAAACAATCACTCACACTTAGTGGCGGTTTATTCTAACACCCTGAGGACGTTTGTTCTCTTTTTATTTTGTGCGCAATAATGACATCTTCAAAAGTAACTTCACCCTGTATAGTTTTCAGGCAAAGGAATTTTACATTGCCCGTTAGGAAGCTACTTTCTGCTTTTGCAGACATGACGCTTTTTGTGAGAGAACAACCTGCGCGGAAACTATATATTTAACCTTAAAATTTATCATTTAGAGGGACACTTTTCTGCTAACTTTATGTACAGGGACACTATGCTTCTATTCATACGTATTTAATAGTAAAAAAACATGCGTTAAACAGTCATATCCGCGAATGAAAGAAAGGAATGCAAAATGTTTTAATCCCTAATTTAAGCATTCAATTTAAATTTTAGGCAAACTGAATCGTTTGGTTTTTTTTTCAAGCATTAGAGTCATACAGTAATTGCCTTCTTCGCAAAATCCTTGGTATCGTCTTTCGATGTTCTCTAGATCTTTGGTGTAGCCGCTCTTCTCGCTTGTCGCTCGTGTCACCCACGTTTTCAGGAAAAGTTATGATGGAAATGCAAGAAATGCATCTCAAAAGACATTCGAGCTCCAATCTTGCAGTAATTTTTCAATAAATTGACCTAGAAAGTGGTGAACAACTCTTCCCCTTCTTTGGGCTTTAAAGGTTTTGTAAAGTTTTCCTTAGCCGAATTTTTAAATATTGTGTATATTGTTTGGCATGCTAAATCACTTTGCTATGTCATGCAAAGTAAAAAATGTTAAGGCAATTGAAAAAGAAGTACACCAGCAAGAGTCTTGCTGCAAGACGAAGCCTTAATAGCACAAAAAATGTTAAAAATATCAATAGTGTCAGTTCTTGGTATGAAAAACTATTAGTTGTAAATTTTAAATTGGATACTGGAGCTGAGGTCAACATTATTAAATTTTAGAACAAATTGGAAAGACAATTATTAAGCCGACAAGACTAAAGTTAGAAGGTTTTGGTGGTAACCTAGTAAAGACAGCAGGTAATGTAAATCTGAAGTGTAAATTTAAAGACATGGAGTCAATAGAAATTTTTAAATTGTTGACAATATAAATATTCGATTGTCGTGTGTTAAAGCACCTGTATAAAATTAAAATTAGTTAGCAGGATATGAGTACATTAGATGCACAACTCTGTATTTGCAGGATAAGTTATTTTAAGAAAAACATGAAAAACCGCTCATAAGATCATTAAAAAAATTCAAAAATTGTATAGACGTGCGTTTGCATTATTTTTATTTAAAAAAGTCAAAAAAAATGCTTTAAAATAAGGTAAATAATTGAAAAAAAAAGATTTAAAAACATAGTGTTGCATCTTCCTCGTTCATTGACCAAGTTTTGCAAGTAAAAAGTGCAAATACCAAAAAATAACAATTAATCAGGTGATTGTTATATCGTCACGCAATGCGTATACTAGCGACGTGATTGGTCAACAGCAAATACCGAGTTTTGTATCCGACAGGAAGAAACAAATACCCAGTTTTGCATCTGCGTTAAGTTTTTGAATGTATTTTATTCTAAAAATATTAACTTATGCATCTGCACGGAAAAAAATCCCTTACTAGGTTTAAGAATAGTTCTATACTTCATGTTAGGAACTTGATTTAAGTATATTTATTATTTCTATGAGATTAGCGTACATTTAAACTAAATAATGGGATATACTTAATTTTTAAGAAAAACTGTTACTTGATTTGAGATGAGTATTCTTGGATTGAGTTTAAAGGTATTTTATTTTAAAGAAAATTAGTATACTTAAATCAAATATACAATAATGCTTAGATGAAAGAGCTCTAGTTTTTTACTCAAAGCGGAATATTGCCACTTATTTTAAGTATTCTGTATATTTGTATGAAATTTTGGTATACTTTATTTAAATATATGTATATTTAATACAAGAACGCTTATACTTCAATTTAAGTATATATACTATAAGACCTCTAGAACAAAGAATACACTATACTGTATTTAAGTATAGCTATTATTAAAACAAATACCTAATTCTTTGCTTAAGTAAATACCGTCCACCCTCTAAGACCGCTTCGCTAAAAGAAAAGACGCAGTTTCTGTGTTCAGTTCTGTCCTGTGTTCTATGGTGGAGGCGTGTGTACGTGTCGGCGCCGGCAGTTCGTGTTTTCCTTTTTCGGTCTGGATGTTATTTGTAATAAAAAATAATGGAGAAGAAACTTAAAAATTGGGGCTTAGAATGTTTACTAGACACATTTTTGGGTAAGTAAATAATATTTCATTAATTTAAAGTAATTAACTAGGCATGATCGTAAAAATGTAGTGTAAAATGTAAGTGGGTAATAGGTATACTGTAATGTAAAATGGATAGCATACGACAGGTAATAGACAATAGCATATAAACAGCAGAAAGGCTATAGCCTCCAATTCAGCTATATTATTTTTGTTTTAGAAAACGAGATAGATATCGATATTATGGTAAACCTAAGCGAGGAGAATTTTAAGGAATTAATTCCAAAAATAGGATTGAGGATCAAGTGTAGAGAAAAAATTGAAGAATTAACACCAAACCAAATTATTTAGCTGGAGATAAATTTTACTGACAATAAAAATACCTACTTAAAAAAATAATAACTTTTGTGATTAAAAACCTTACCTTTACATATAGCACCAAAAATGTGATACCTAGGTACTTAAAAAAATAAAATGTAAAATATAGTATCTATGTTAATTAACCGTGAAAGAATGAATTTATATAAATTGACAGTACTTTTTCTAATACCTCTAAGACTGTTAGGTAATAAACCCATTGTGATATCAGTGCCTATTATATTTAGTACTTTAGTACATTAAAATAATTAAAATAATATGCCCAAAATACTGTTAAATTACATTAGGATAATTAATACAAATATTTTTCAGGGTCACGAATGTTTTTTTTGTAAAAATTATTCCGAGTCGCTAGACGAGGGAATTTTTTTTTTCTAATCAACCACTTTCTTTAAAAATAGTTTAAAGTTATTTTAAATATATACTATACTTTTATCAAATATAAAAAAAGGAAAAGTAAGAATACAAGCATTTTATGCAAGTAAAGCGTGTACTTACAATAAGTATATATAAATAAATTTTAAAGAAAGTATATTCTTAAAACAAGAATACTCTAAAGATTTTACAAAGAAACTTTACTTTGATGAAGTACATACTAACGTTACAACAAGAATACCGTAGTCTTCATTTAAGACAAATTTGTATACTTAACTCAAAATTAGTGTGTTTCTTATTTTTAGTATAGCAGTAATCTTAGATTAAACCGAAGCTATATTTATTTTATAAGAATATGAGGATACTTGAAACAAGTATAAATTTACTTGCGGAATAGGGAAACTAAGCTATACTTGGATAGAGTTGAATTTTCTTGGAATCAGTATAGATTTTTTTCCGTGTGGTTTACTAAGGTATGCTGTAGGCAGTGAAGTAATTTACATAAATAGGATAAAATAGGTATAATTTTTTTAAAAATTTGCAAAAACCGAGTTTTGCATCTAATGTACTCATATATGTGGTTAAATATAAATTTATATATGAGTACATTAGATGCACAACTCTGTATTTGCAGGATAAGTGATTTTAAGAAAAACACGAAAAACCGCTCATAAGGTCATATTTGAAAAAAAAATACAAAAATCGTATAGACGTGCTTTTGCATCATTTCTTATTCAAAAAAGTAAAAAAAAGTCCTTTAAAATTAAGTAGTTTAGTAAATAATTGAAATCAAAAGATTTAAAAACATAGTTTTGCATCTTCCTCGTTCAAAGACCAAGTTTTGCAAGTGAAAAGTGCAAATACTAAAAAAATAACAATTAATCAGGTGATTGTTATGCCGTCAGTTAATGCGTATACTAGCGACGTGATTGGTGATTGGTCAAATACCGAGTTTTGCATCCGACAAATACCCAGTTTTGCAGCTGCGGTAAGTTTATAAATGTATTTTATTCTACAAATATTAACTTATGCATCTGGTTTACTTAGTTATGCTGTGGGCAGTGCAGTTATGATCATAAATAAGATAAAATATATATTTTTTTAAAATGTGCAAAAACCGAGTTTTGCATCTAATGTACTCATATTATAGTTTTGTGGACAATTTTAGTAAATTCAAAGACAAATGTATACAATTGAAATTTTTGATGATGTTAAACCAATCCTCCACGTGGGTACCTCTTGTTATACTTAAATTAAAATCCATTCTAGAAAATTTAGAAAAACGCGGTGACATCACTAAAGTGGAGATACATACAGGTTAGGTGGGATTAGACTTGTTTGGACCCAAAAAATTTAAATCCAGCTATAAAAAGACCAAAAAACTTTGAAAGAAGAGATTTTGTTACCTATTAGGAAAAGGGAGATGTTGTATATGCATAGGCATTACCAAAAACAACAAATATTTCTTCTATGATTTTTGCGAATATTTGGAAAACAACATTAAGTATTGAAAATCTGGTCCTCCATCTTCTAAACTGTCCAACATGTATGGTTATGAAAACAAAATTTGGTTGGTATACTATAGTATTACTTTTTTGTCAAGATGGTAACCTGACTATAATGTCTCTTTAACAGTCATGTCATTTTTATTATTTGTTTATTTTTTTTGTATTTCGTTTTTTTCAAATACTAATTCAGAAGAAGTAATAATTCATCCTTGGTCTTACGACAGCATAAACAAATGGCCTAAACAATGCCTTACAGGAAAAAAACAGAGCCCCATTAACATAAACTCCAAAATGGTTACCAAAAAGTATTTCCCTGCATTTGAATTTAATATTACCAAATACTCTCAAACTGGCATAATTCAAAATAATGGGCATACTGTAAATGTAGCCTTTTCGCATCCAGAAACTGTTATAATAAATGGTGGAGGTTTGCCAGGCGTAAATTATAGACTCGAAAATTTTAATTTTCATTGGGGTTCTGAGCATACGGTTGACCAAGAAAGATTACCTTTGGAGCTACATTTCGTTTTATACGAAACCAAATATGCAGGTCTAAAAAACGCATTGGAAAATAATGGTGTGGTGGTTTTCAGTGTATTAGTTCAAACGTGCTTAGATTGCTATGCTCAAAACTCATGGTCAACCATTGAAAAACAGATAAGTGAAATTGTTTACCCTGGATTGGGTTGGGTACCATTACCAAACGAAATTAGAATAAACGAGTTTTTACCTTTAAATCTGGGAAATTTTTATAGATACGAGGGTTCACTTACAACTCCTAACTGCAATGAAGGTATTGTGTGGACTGTTTTTAGAGATACGATATGTATACCTCCAAATCAATTACAGGCTATAACCCGGATTCAAGGAAATGATGGAGCAAATCTAAACACCACATTTAGGCCTGTGCAACCATTAAATGGAAGACAAGTGACCTATCAATAAACTTTTATTACAAAACTTAAGTCCAAATACAATTTATTTTTAAACCCATTATGCCCCTATTTTTAAAATTATAGCAAACGTGTTATGTAAATAAACAAATCCAGCTACTTTTTTATTTGGTAAGCATTCTTTAGAAAACCTAAAATTTAAATTTGAAATCCAAGTTTTTTTTCTGTTCATGTTATAAATTCAATTATCAGTGTATGTATGTGTCCTGAGTTAAAGTAAGGCTGCATCAGAGTAAGTACTACATGTTTTTTTAAATCTGTAATGCCACTTCTATTCCACAATATACAATAAAATCCAAAAAATAGCCAGTACATTTAATTTACGCAGCGTTTATGGTAAATCCCCTTTAAGAAATATTTATTAAAATAATTAAATAAAATCAAGTATAACATGACATTTAGCTAGATGAAATCCAGTAAAACCCTCTCCTTTTAATTAGATAAAATCAAATAAAACCCTGATCTCTTAATTGGATAAAATAAAGTACAACCCTGCCCTTTTAATGAAATAAAATCAAGTACAACCCTGCCCTTTTAATTAGATAAAATTAAGTACAAAATGTTTATTATTTAGAATCTAACGTAATGCGAGATTGTTCAAAATTTATCATTTCGATTATAAGCGTGGTTTATAATAATTAAATAATTTAGTTATTAGAATGTATAAACCTTTAATTTAAACAATTTTACACCTGTTGTTGGTTGCACCGGTTTTTTTTTGAATGATGTGTATATCTTAATATAAAAAAATATATATATAAAATATAAATAAATATTACTAACAAAGTTAAAAATATAATATTAAATATTTAAAAATTTTACGTTTTAAATAACTGAATGAAATACGCACAGTTCCAAAATTTTGCAAAGAATATATAAAAAGCGTAATACAGACTTATTATTTAATATTATTTAATATTTATAACTCCCTAAAACTGTGGTATATAAACATATAAACCGTGAGTAACTATGTTACAAGAAACCAACTAAGTAACTAATGGTTAACATTAACATTAAGTTAAGAAACCTCTTTTTAATAATTCATATCATAATAGATTAATTGTATCGGTTAATTTGCAACATGCATTAAAAACACAATATCGAGCACAAAAATTGGTATAAATCAAATTAAAGTAAACAGACCCAATGAAAATAAGTTACAAATTCAAATACCTCAAAATAGTGTTTTTGGAGTTATGTGATTTTTGCAGTAACTCGATTTTAATATTTTTTTTATTGTAAACTATTTTAATAAATAAATTAAGTAAATGACAAAAATAAATATTCATTATTGTACAATTTGGTTATATGGAGATCTGATGTTCATACAGTAAATGTTAGACATAATACTTTTAACATTCCACAGCAATATACTCATAAATTTGTATATGTTGCGTCAAAATTATTAAATAGATTAATTTTGAATATTAATTTAATAAAGAAAAACTTTTTAATTTTTGTTAAAGATTAATATTTAAATTATTATTGATTCCATTTATTTTAAATAAATATATATGATAATTTTTAATTTTTGTACACAATTAAAATAAGGAGAAGATGAAAGATAGGATAACCTAACCGTCCTCCTATTGTACGTAATTTAAGTACAATAAAGTATATTTGATTTGATTATATTAAAATAGTATACAAAGCCACATGAAATTATTTTGCCCTGCCGTTCGTAAAGAAGTTTTACTTCAAAAGAAGCCATATATCTTCAATGAATATATTGTAATGAAAACTAAAGAATATTTTAAAGAGTGGGATAAGGAGTGTACACTGAACAACATTTATGCCATTAGAAAAGTGACGTATTGTTGCAAAAAATCATGACTTAAAAAAAATTGTTTTACGTTAATTCACATTTTTTACCTAATAATAATAATTTACAAAAATACAAACTCAAAATATAAAAATATTTCTTTTATCGGATAAATAAAAAATATTAAGACAATTGTGTAATTTTTTTAAATAATTTCGTTATAAATTATTTAACGAAGTAATACATACAAAATCTTAAAAACCCATAAACTTCCATCGACCAGCCAAAGAACCGATGCATCGCGATGGGAGCTTATAGGTTTTTAAGGTTTCGTACAAATGACTAATATAACCTAAACTTTAATCCGGTGAAGATTACAGCTGCTCCTGTTAGATACCGTTGGGTGGATGAGTCCAAGTAGGGGTGGAGTATTCAAAATATTCATACACTGTAAACTTAATTTCAGACTTAAACTGACTTGGACCTTAGCAATAAAGTGATATTTTAAACAATATAAATTATTAAATAAACTAAGTTTATTAATTAAATAAAAATAAAAAACAAGAATTAAGTTAGCTTAAATTAATAATTGGTAATTTTTGTTAAGCTTAAGAATCTACAAATCTAATTTTCAAAACAAACTTAAAACTATAACTATAAATAATTAAAGTAACAAAATTAACAGGGCGACCTACTCTAGTTTGACAAAACTATAAGTTAATTTAAAGCTTAACAAATTAATTTAAAATAAAATAATTATTATACCTTAACGCTGAAGCTGTTGAATACTGATTGGCACTTAAAATGGATAGCTCAAAAATGATTTGGATAGCTCAAAAAGATCTAGGTAAAGGCTAGCGATTCTAAGGTCGCGTTGATTTTGTATAGGAAATATTAAGGGACAATCGGAAGGGATACCTTCTTAAAGACCATTGGTCACAATTAGGTTAAGTCCTCGTGCAAATGTCTTAGAAATTCAAAGGCTATAAACATTCGCATACGAATCTTCATTTTATGTGGGTATACCCACATGAAATGACGAAGAGCTATTGGATTTAAGATAAGCGTGTAAATATTTTCTATTTGTCCGTAAATAAAGTAATAATTTGGTTATTTCAACAATCATAAGAAAGTTGAAGTGCTTATTAATTGTTTATTTTTAAGTTTAGAGTTGTTATGTAATGATAATTTTTTGTTTTGAATTAAATTGTCTTTTAAAGTATGTAAAAGTATACAGAGTGTTCCAATTTTTTTTATTTTTAGTAAATAATAATATTATAATTAATAATTATATTATTAAGTTATTAATACTATAATAAAATCTCTAAATAGGTTTCAAAGTAAATATATTTATATCTTTTAAAGTATGTCCTTTAACATGTTCTTTACGTAACTAAATATATTGAGTACAAATAGGCCATTAAAAGTTATAAACGAACATGTTGGTAATTTTATTTGTAGAATAGAGTAAAAAGAAAGTCGCTTACAAAGTTGTAATAAAAAAATTCTTGAAATTTGTTTCACGGGACTATAAACCACATAAGCTTATCGCTTCTGCACTAATTCCGAGGAAAAATCATAAATCGCGATCGATTTTGGTTATTCGTCGTAAAATTTGTGTTCCGACCGCGTTCCTATAGTTGATAACTTATAATTCATAATTTTAAATAAACTGTAGCGGTGCTGGGTATATGTTTACGATGCCACGTATAAAGTTGAACGAAATCCTAGAGTAACGTAGATGAAACGTGCAACCAGAGTTTTGCATTTTGCCTGTTTGTTATATTTCTGTATATTTATTCATAGTACATTTGCTTTCTCGACAATATTGTTGTATTTTGCAACAACCCACCACTATGATTTAAACACGTAGTTTAATAAAATTCCCATAATATCCCTTTGTTCTATTTGTCTCTGCAAAACAAAGGGATACGTTGTTTATCCGTAACACATTATAATGTGTATACTGTATCAGTCTCTCACTCAAAGCCACAAACACTCTTTGTTTACTTTATTTGACAAATTACACGTACTAACATTTCTCTACTTAATTTGTATAATTTATCACACGAACGAATTATTTTAATGTTTTATAAAATGTTAAATACAAAATTGCACAAAACAAATTTAAAAATTAAAAAACCCATTTTTTATCATTATTATTAACATTATCATTATTATTATTATTTTTATTATAATTAACGTTATCTTTATCATTATCATTATCACTATCAATATCATTTTCATTATCATTATTGTTGTTACAATCGCGTTATTTATCAATTTTGTTCTTCTGCATCTTCAAGATCATTTATAAAATTGTTTAATACAATTTCGTCAAAACTCATTGTTTAAAAATATCAAATAAGACACTCTAATATGGCATTTACTTTTAAGGTTATATTTATGTGGCGATTGTTTAATTTTCACACGTTCATCTACTTCCCACCAAGAGATGTTCACTTCGCCCGAAAAAATCACAAATGATCAATCCCTTGTTTTGAGAATACGCTTTTGTAAACTTTCATACGATTTTGCGTAGCTCCTCCCACTTTCGCATGATTTCGTATGATTTCACAACTGGAGGATAGGGCCCCTGGAGGCTGGCCGTAAAATAATAGTCTCATGTAAATGGATAATAAATATCGTACGTCGTTTCCTTTTAAATTTACTGTAAAAGAAATTATTACGGTCTTTAATTCTGAGGGATTTTTAGTTTTTTTGTAATATTTTTAGAACCACTGGTGTTTTTATAAATTTATAAATTCCATTTATAACCGAACTTGTAGCTATTCAAATAAAAAAATATTCGTACTTTTCGTCTGTGGTTCAGCAACAATTACTATGTGCAATATTTTTTTTCAATAGACGCAAAATAGTAGATTGTGCGACTAGTGGGAGCAGAAGATTTCTTGAATGAAAAATATTTTATTCAACTATCGCAGAGAATTTAAAGCCAATTTTATTTGATATTATATCCTATTCCTTTGAGTTTGCTTAATTAATTTGGATTTTCAATGGCTTCACTTTTTAGCTGATTGAGATTTTGTAGTGTTTTAGCTTACTTGGACTCAGTTAGTTCAACCAGTTTTACCTTGATTTTGGTATTGCTGGTTCAAGTTTAGTTTCTAAATTTCCTTTAGCTTTAAGCGATTCCTTTGAGTTTGCTTGATTAATTTGGATTTTCAATGGTTTCACTTTTTAGCTGATTGAGATTTTGTAGTGTTTTA